GTTCACAGGAATGTCAGTGAAGATTCTCAAACGGTGAGAACAAACGTTTAAGGCTCTTTGAACGTTGCTTTTATGTTAGAGAATAACCTTTATATGTATGATTGTCTCAGGAAGTCGGTTTGTTGTTTCTAACTTCAGATACAAGAAGAACCTGAAGACTCTGTTCGTCGTCCATCCAACAAACTTCATCAGGATCGTCTGGAACATCTTCAAACCTCTGATCAGGTGAGAACACACCTGAGAGCCTGCAGGTAGACCTCCTCCTGTCCTCACTAACTCCTCATCTCTCGTTCTTTTCAGCCATAAGTTTGGGAAGAAGCTCAGGTACGTGAACTACCTGTCGGAGCTGCGAGAACACCTGAACCTGGACCAGCTGATGGTTCCTGCAGACGTTCTCAGGTATGTTCTCGCCTGCAGGTCGCCTCTTCAGACTCTCGGTTTGTTCACGGTCTGTCATCTCACCTTCAGACACGACGGGAAGCTGCGAGCGGCTCAGACAGGTGGAGCTCCGCCCACCGTGAGAACACCTCCACCTCGACCACCACTGCCGACTCAGCAGTTTGGAGTCAGTCTGCAGTAGTGAGTGTTGAACCTTGATGGACTGTTGCTGTCATGTTCCTTCACTGAGCTTCATGTTCCTTCACTGAGCTTCATGTTCCTTCACTGAGCTTCATGTTCCTTCACTGAGCTTCATGTTCCTTCACTGAGCTTCATGGTCCTTCACTGAGCTTCATGTTCCTTCACTGAGCTTCATGGTCCTTCACTGAGCTTCATGGTCCTTCACTGAGCTTCATGTTCTTCAAGTCCTGCAGCTCTGAGGAACCAGAACATGAAGGAGGAGACAGAACTCAGGGACGTCTGCTGTCAGCAGGACTCAGTCAGAACCATGGAGACCAGAGAGAAGAAACGTTTCTTTCATTAGGTTTTGTAGTAAAATGTAGAAATGTGGAACTAACGTGTTGGAGAAGCTCCTCCAGTGTGATGATCAGTAATCTGTGGATCATGTGTTTGTTGGCAGCATCAGAGAGAAGAACCGAGATGCTATAATCCCACCTGTGATGTCTCAGACCGTCTCCTACCTGAAGGACAAAGGTGAGTCTCACCAGCAATCAGCTGAGTGACTCCGGCAGCAGCAGCAGAGGCTCATGGGTGATGTAGTACGTAGAGGTGACATGTTCACATCCTGAACCATCAGTCCCAGTGGAAAACAAATCTACTGCTGTAGTTTTATTCCTCTGACCACCAACGTCAGAAGAAGATTCTTACCTGGAAGTCACGTGTTTCTGTGGCCTCTGATCGATGATTGGTTGATTGATTGATTGAACAGCGTTTGTGTTGCAGGTCTGAGGACTGAGGGACTCTTCAGACGTTCAGCTCGTGTTCAGGTCATCAAAGACGTTCAGAAACTTTACAACCTCGGTGAGTCTTTTTATTTCAGGATCAATAAGTTTGATCAGCAGATTGATCAGTGTTTCAGTTCAGTCTGAACAACTTGAACTCATCAGATGTTCATTAATCTCACTTTGTGAAGCTTCTGTTAAACGGTTTCTGGATGAATTTATTGATCAGCAGCAACAGAGAACATAAAAGCATCAATCTGGTGTTTCTAGAACCTGCTAGAGTCTGTCAGAACCGGACAGCCATTCAAAGAACCTCACTGACTTTAGCAACAGGCAGTGGCAGCGCCTCACCTGGACGCCCCCTTCAGGTGTCAGGCCCAGCAGGGCCGACCTTTGGTCCACAGGGTTCGGTCAGGAGCAGAAAGAACTACACGGGACGACTGCCCAGCGAGAGGCACCGACCCGGTGTTGAAGTTCTACCTGGAGAACCAGAACTTCACCTCTCTGAGACTGATCTGAGTTCTGGGCCTTCTTGGAGTCTCTGGCTGGATTCTGGAAGAGGTTCCTCCTGCAGACTCCATAGTTCTCCTAGAGGACTTCAACACTTCTGTGGACGGTGATGGAGAAACCTGGAGGAGGTTGTTGGGAGGAAGGGCCTGATCAGAACCAGAGTGGTGTTCTGTTATTGTGTGCTGGTCATGGATTGGTCCTAACAAACAACATGTTGGAGCTCTTAAGTGTTCCTGGTACCAGAACACCTGAGGCCAAAGGTCGATGATGGACCTGTAGACGTTTCATTCAGGTGAAGAGGAGCAGAGCTTCAGCTGGTCTCCGCCTGGCACTGATTGGATCAGATGGAAGCTGCTGGACAGACCTGGTAAACCCAAACAGGAAGTGAGGCTGAACTGGGAACATCTGGAGGAGGTCTTTAACGCCTATCACCAGGAGAGATTCTCCTGCATCCTGGGGAGGTTGGACATAGAATCAGGAATTGGGCCAAAGATCACTGGTCCTAAAAACCCTTCAGACTGAAGAAGGAGGTCTTTGGATCAGGTACCAGGAAGATAAAGGGCTGACCTTAGGAGACTTCAGAGGGATTTGGGTTCTAGGAAACTGCTCAGCACCTCAGGAAGGGAGAAAGGTCCTGGTCCAGATTATGTTCAGTGGGTGGAGAACCTGACCTGGACTGGGCTTATTGTCGGGCAGTAAAAGGAGAACTTTGAGGAACTCGTTAAGGAGGCGGAACCTGAAGACTGTGTAAACCTCCCTCATATCTGTGGTGGAAACTCCACAGTGGGAGGTACCAGGTGTGGATCCGATTCATCCTGAGAATTCTGAAGGTTCTGGACACTGTTGGACTCCAATGGCTGAAACCTCTCTTCAGTTTGTGGAGATCATATCTCGTCTGACCTGAGAACGTCTCAGAGAAGAACGTGTGGAAGCACCTGCTTCACCTGCTGCCTCCACGACCCACAGATGGATCAATAATCAATAAACATGGTTTGATCAATAATATGATCTGATCACTAAATGTGGTTTTCTCTGGATCTTCAGGGAAACCCGTGAACTTGGAGGATTATGACGACGTCCATGTTGCTGCTGTGATCCTGAAGACGTTTCTGAGGGAACTTCCTGAACCTCTGCTCACCTTCAGACTGTACAGCTGCATCCAGGAGATCATCAGTGAGTATTGATCAGTGACTGTGTGATCAGCTGTTGGACTGCAGCCTCTAACTGGTTCTGTGGGTCAGGTGTGGAGAGCAGTCTGCGTGTAGGCAGGTGTAAGCAGATCGTCGAGAGTCTACCTGAGCATCCGTTCATCGTCACCAAGTACCTGCTGTGTTTCCTCCATCAGGTGGGTTCATACTCATCAATGACCCGTTCTGCTGGTCACTAACTTGTTGTACTGGCCAATAACAGGTGTTGTTGTTACCTGTCTCAGGTGTCTCAGCAGAGTCTGACCAATAAGATGAGTCCATCTAACTTGTCCTGTGTTTTCGGTGTGAACCTGGTTTGGCCTCGTCATGGATCCATTTCTCTGTCGGCTCTGACTCCGATCAACATCTTCACTGAGATCCTCATCGAACACTTCGACACCGTGTTCGGCTCCCGCTGCCCACCTGCACAGGTAACCCCCTGATCCACACCTGCACAGGTAACCCCCTGATCCACACCTGCACA